AGGAGGAGGAGGAGGAGGAGGAGGAGAAAAAGGTAGTGGTGATGGTGGTGGTGGTGTCTCTCACACCACAGAAAATCACTGGTCAATTCAGGCTGGGCTCTCTGGGGTTTCATGTTTCAGATAGCCTGAACTGTCACTGGGCCACCTGACTCCAGAAGAGGGCCAGTTGATTTCACAGAAGTTCCCCATCTTTTCTGTGTGAGCAATAGAAATACCTGTCCTTCTCCATGAAACTCTCCTTTGGGCCATGGTGGACCTTGCCCATCATGGCCGCCAGCATTGCCATAGCAACAGCAGCAGCCACCAACCCAGCCACGGTTGCTGCAGAAAGGGGGGTTGCAGTGTGGGCACAGCACAGCCCATGAGCCTGCAGTCAGTCATGCCCTATGCCAGGGGTGGCTGCAGGTGTGGCCCCAGTCCTGCGACAACTCCCCCTTCTATATAGATATTTCTCCAGTCAATAGCACGGGCAGCAATACATAGAAAGACACACACATAGAGACGCACAGTAAAGGGCTGGCCACCACACATGCAGCTGAACAGAACAGGAGTCCTGTGACATCCCACATGAATCCCAGACGCCGGATCAGCAGCTGCAGCCGGTCTCTCCCGCATATCCCAAATAGAAGTCACCTTAACCAGACTTATCTCTGGAGGTGACAGACCGGGTGACTTTCTATTTTATTTCCTTTTAGGGTTGAGGTGTCAGAATCCTCTGAAGCATTAGGCAGCCTTCACTGGAATATAACAGTGACTAAGACAGTCACTATTAAAATTTAAATTAGGGGAGCCTAATTTAAACTAGGGGAGATGAATCAGCCGGTCCAGTGCTGGCCTTGAAAGCATGCTGACCTGAGTTCAGATCCCTGGCACCCATATAAAAAGACAGGCATGGAGGCCTGTGGCTGTAACCACAGCCTCCATGAGATAGAGACAGGAGAGTCCCTGGAGCTCACTGGCCAGCCAATGTATTCAATTGGTGAGCTCCAGGTTCAGGGAGAGACCCTGTCTCAAAAACTAAGGAGGAGAATTTTAGTAGAAGGTACCTAACTGTCTTAGGATTACTATCGCTGTGATGAAACACCATGACCAAAAACAATTTGGGGAGGAAATGGTTTATCTCCCTCACAGTTCCATAAAACAGTTCATCATCAAAAACAGTGAGGACAGGAACACAAGCAGGGCAGGAACCTGGAGGCAGGAGCTGATGCAGAGGCCATGGAGGGGTGCTGATTACTGGCTTGCTTCTGGTGGGTTCCTCAGCCTGCTTTCTTATAGAACTAGAGACTACCAACCCTACCCACAATGGGCTGGGCCCTTCCACATCAACCACTAACTAAGAAAACGCCTGCAGGCTTGTCCACAGTCTGATCTGGTGGAGGCATTTACTCAATTAGGGCTCCCTCCTCTCTGATGACTCCAGCTTGTGTCAGCTTGACATAAAACGAGCCAGCACACCAACACACATGTACACGGACACTCACACCCACATGGTGTGCATACATATACACCATGCAGACAAGTTGAACTGTATAAACTTACAACTAAAGTAAACTGTACTAAAAACAAAATACTCCAAACACCATCTGCTAATTTGACTATATTTTACTAGTATGTATTTTCTTGAAGATATTTATGTGTGTTTGGTGAAAATACCATAAGACTGGATTACTGAGCCACTCCCAACTTCATGTGCAGAGGTAAGCTTGAGATAAGACAGGATGTGAGAATATACACCACGGAAATGTGTGAGCACACCCAAGTCCTGAGTCCTTACTTATACTCCTTGGAGAACATGGAGTTAACCATGAACTGTCCCATCACTGGTTGAATATTGGAATATTGGAAGAATATTGGAAGAGCTGTGTAGCAAAGAGAAGAACAAGACAGGGTATTCAGGTAGCTAGACGTAGGTGATGGACACTGGTAATCATGGCTCACAATTCCAAATATTCCTTAATTTAACTTGGATTAACTCCTGTCATCTTAGAGATTACAGTATTCACTCAGGCCGGGGAAGCAGGTAGGCTAATAGCAGATCTTCACCTCTGCCTCCATTCCTATAGATCCAATCCTCCAGTCTCAGTCCTAGCTCTGAGGCAGACCACTTGCTGCAGCTTCCCTGTCTCTGCCCTGCCCCATCTCCAGGGGATCACACAGGTCTATTCCTCCAAGCTTCCTTCCCCTGCTCATTGCTTTATCCCAGTCCCCAAATCTAATAGGCACTCCCTAGGAACCCACAGGCCACTCCGACCAGGGAAGCAGATGGACTAACTGCAGATCTTCACCTCTCCTTCCATTCTTCCAAGTCCAATCCTCCAGTCCTATGCCCAGCTCTGTAGCAGACCAACCACTGCAGCCTCTCCTCGCTCTTGGCCCTCTTCTGGGGGACTAAGCAGATCCTGGTGGAACGCCCTGCTTTCTCCCCTCTTGTGAACCCCCTCAGCCCCTCCTAGCTAATCCCCATTCCTATGCGTCAGCTCCCAATACTAGAAACCCATTTTACTTAAAACCCTCAGTGGCCCACACCTATCAGGACCTCAGAAGAATTTCTACAGGTAACACATAGTCACCACACTCTCCTAAGAACCAGACAGGAAACAGAAACCAAAGAACAAAATACCCACCCAACAAAGACAAGACAGGTTATCAACTCCTAGAATTATAATCTTCCCAAACCCAGATGCCTAAACACCAGCAAAGCAAAACAAAACAAGCAAGCAAGTAAGCACATAAAAAACAAACAAACAAACAAGCAAACAAAACAAAACAAAACAAAAAGCCAATCAATTACAACCAAGAAAATACGTCTCCACTAGAACCCAGCAACTCTATTATGGCAGGTCTCGAGTATTGCAACATAGCTTAAAAACACACACACACACACACACACACACACACACACACACACAGACCTTAAAACAGCCTTTATGAATATGATAGAGGTCCTTAAGGAGAAAATGTATAAATTCCTTGAAGAAATCTATGAAAACACAAATATGGAAAAAAAATGAATGAAACAATTCAAGATCTGAATGTGGAAATAAATCAATAAAGAAAACCCAAACTGAAGGAAATATGGAAATGAAAAATGTAGGAGCTTGAACAGAGGCAAGCCCCACCAACAGAATACAAGAGATGGAAGAAAGGATCTCAGAAATTTAAGACAAAATAGAAGAAATGAATACCTTGACCAAAGAGAATGTTAAATCTTGTGTTAGGGTTTCTATTGATGTGAAGAGATACCATGACCATAACAACTCTTATAAAGGAAAACATTTAATTGGGGCTCACTTACAGTTTCAGAGGCTCAGTCCATTATCATCATGGCAGGAGGCAAGGCATCATGCAGACAGACATGGTGCTAGATAAGGAGCTAAGAGTTCTACATCTTGACTCACAGGCAACAGGAAGTTGTCTGAGACACTGGGTGGTATCTTGAGTACACACAAGACCTCAAAGCCTGCCTCCACAGTGACACTCTTCCTCCAACAAGGCCATACCTTCTAATAGTACCACTTCATTTGGGGACCATTTGTAGTTGGATGTTTCTTTCCCACCCACCTGTTTCCAAATACCTGGCAGCCAAATAATTGACTCAGGCTTATAAATGACCAGCCGATAGCTCAGGCTTGTTACTAGCTAACTCTTACACTTAAATTAACCCGTATTTCTAGTTATGCTTTGCCACATGGCTCATGGCTTGTTACCTCATTTTCTTCATGTCCTGCTTGCCTTACTTGCTCTCCTGACTCCCCCCTTCTCCTTTCCATCAGCCTTAGTTTGGTCACCCTGCCCATACTTTCTGCCTGGCTACTGGTCAATCAGTGTTTTATTAAGCCAATTTGAGTGAAATCTTTACAGTGAACAGAGGATTATTCCACAGCATTCATTTTCTTTCAAACTACCACAAATTTAAAAACTTCTGGCACAAAACATACAAGAAATCTGGGACACTATGACAAGACCAAATCTAAGAATAATAGGAACAGAGGAAGAAAAAGAAAGATAGGTCTAAGGCATAGAAAATATTTAAAACAAAATCATAGACCAGAAGTTCACTAACCTGAGGAAGGAGATGACTATCAAGATACAAGAAGCTCACAGAACACTGAGTAGACTGGCCCAGAAAAAAAAGTCCCTTTGGCACATAATCAAAACACTAAATGTACAGAACAAAGAAAGAATATTAAAAGCTGCAAGGGAAAAAGACCAAGTAACTTATAAAGGCAGACTTATTAAAATTACACTGAGGGGCTGGAGAGATGGCCCAGCAGTTAAGAGCACTGGCTGATCTTCCAGAGGACCGGGGTTTGATTCCCAACACCCACATGACAACGGACAACTGCCTGTAACTCCAGTTCCAGGGGATCTGACACCCTCACACAGACATACATGCAGGAAAAATGCCAATGCATATAAAATTAAAAAAATTATACCTGAATTTAAGTCTCAGTGGAGACTTAAAATGCAGAAGGGCCTGGGTAGATGTGCTGCATACTTTGAGATCAAAGATGCCAGCCCAGACTACTATACAGCAAAACTTTCAATCACAACCGATGAAGAAAACAAGATATTCCATAATATAACCAAACTGAAACAATCTCTATCTACAAGTCCAGAACTAAAGAAGACTCTAGATAGAAAACTCCAACATAAGTGATTAAGCACACTCAAGAAAATACAAGGAATAAATGATCCCAGACCAGCAAATCAAGAGAGGAAACACATACACACATACCACCACCACCACCACCACCACCACCACCACCACCACCACCACCACCACCACCACCACCACCACAACAACAACAACAACAAGAACAAGATAATAGAAATCAACAAACACCACTTACTGATATCTCCATCATCTCAATTCCCCAATAAAAAGACAAACAGAATGAATGTGAAAACATCCTTCTACTCCATCCAAGAAATACACCTTAACATTAAGGGTATAAATCACCTCAGGTTAAAAGGGTGGGAAAAGATATTCCAAGCAAACGGACCTAAGAAGCAAGCTGATGTAACTATCTCAATATCTGACAAAATAGACAATCCAAAACTAACCAGGAGAAATAGGGAAGGACACTACACACTCATCAAAGGAAAACTCTACAGAGAGACCTTACAATTTTTATCATTTGTGCACCAAATAATCTGGGGGCTGGAGAGATGGTCCAGCATTTAGAACACGTACTATGCAAGCAGCAAGTCTTGAGGACTGAAGTTTGGACCCCCAGGTCCCACAAAAATCCAAGTGGGTGTGGTGGCCTG